TATTGACTCAGGAATGATAGCTCTATGGGCTCATAGCGGCAAAACGCGGTACTACAAAAGCTCTGCCCACAAAAAAATTAGTTTGGTTTCTTTTGGGTACCCCATCGTAAACTTGTTGCACTACAGAAGCTACTTCTGGGTATTTATTCATGATGACATGATATTCAGGTTTCAGCGATGCTCGCTTCTGTGTCCAGTATTTCCAGAGTTCTGGTACTGGACATCCACCATCTTGATGTACGCTCAAGTTCACCGCCTGTTTTGATGTATCACACAGCACTGCACACACTCATGGATGTGTGGCAAACATCACTGACACCACCTCCGCCAAACAGAAACTGGCTCTGAACACACTACGGAAAATACAGTCCATGAAAACCACTTTATCCAACACATGTTTTGGTTAAAACACAAAATCCAATCAAGACCTAGTGCAGGGATTGCCATGATCTACTGGGCAACTCACTCTGACTCACTGCCCTCCTCCCACTCCCTACCTGCAACTAACTCACGTTCTTGTCTCACTGACTCACTTGTCCCATTGGCCCTCAGTATATAGACTCAGCATGGACCAGGTGGAAAACACCAATTCCCATGGTTCTTCTATTATTGTGTGCTTACTGAGCCATTGCCCAGCAAGGCCCCTGCTTTTGACCCTTGCTATTCCAACTATAAGGTGTCATGTCACAGTATCTTATCTAAGAAGCTAACCATGTAGCCAGCTAAATATGCATCTACCTAGTTAAATAGCTATTTACAACGGTCTTCCTTGAGAAGCTGATTATTACTCAAATGATCAAGAAATATTTGTTACTGGATCCAAAAATTCAATACCACTGACCCTACCTTCAGCCATTTCAGTTCAGTTTATACCAATTCCTTTATGGTCTCTCTGCACACAAATTTTGCAAGTAGTCCTCCTTTTGTGGTTCTTCAACCAAAATTTGTTATATATTTGTGTTGTATGTATACCTTATTCTTTCTTATCTAAACGCCCTGACAAAATGATGTAAAGTGTATATATCAAGGTACTTCTTATGTAATTTCCTCCTGGTATTTAGAAACAGATGATGACACCAATCTCGGACTTACAAAGCTCTAAGCAACAAATTCTACATTGTGCCAACTTTTCTTTAAATGCTTCATTTCAATGCACTATCTAAATGTTACAAATTACACAACTCAGTGATCTGTTTCTGTGCATCAAATCTGCTACTGCAGAATTAAACTGCCCAAAACTATCAAATACAATCTAAAACTTTGATACAACTACCATGTTCGTAATTTTTAACATACAAAAACATGTTTCTTCAGATCTGTAGGTGTGTTTATGATGTATAACCACATCAAATGTCATATTCATAATTACAATAGTTCATTAGTTATTGTTATCAAATGGAATAATAAATACAGATTTCACTCTGTGCAATGTTGTTTAGTATTCTATATAATGGGTTGGCAATTTGAGCTCATATGCAAACATGGAATTCCTAGTACTTTTACCAATATTTAGGATACCCACAAATTGCTTCAGTGAATATTTAACTTTACTGTTAAACATGAACCATGAACTGAGAATGCAAATTATGTAAGACTCATTTCTAAATTCCAGTCAATTATGATGAAGCCACTTTCCATCAAAAAGATTAAAACCCATCCATGGATACTAACCTCTGACAAGTGGTGGTGACATGCATCCTTCACAGCTCGACTTAGAGTTGGTGAGTCTACTTGTCCCTGGCTATGATCATCCTCATCCAATGAGTGAAGGAGCTGAATATTAAACCAATGATTATTTTCAACCAACCATAAAGTTACTGGAACTTTACATTTCATTTCAAACACAATTTACAGCAAGTAAAAATGACAAGCATGATGAAAAGAAGGATTCAATCTGTCAGTTACAACATTTAGCTGATGCAACAATAAAATAAAAAACAGAGTTGTTCTGTTCTGCCTTTTTCTGTTTACACATCCTACGATGATAACAAGCACCATGTACACCCAAATGTATGAAGATAAACAGCTGATTCTATTAAAACATATCCTGTATTATCTATTTTAAACCATTATGTGCGACACATAAATATATTTTATACTGAAAAGTAAACAGTAAAGTAAAGTGGATTGAAAACATCACTTTGATCTCTTATTTTATTAGCGATACCTCTATCATCCAAATACCTATTAGTCATGGTTCCCATCACACTCCAGAAAACAGCAGTTTTGTTTCAAAACCCTTTTGTGTGGTATGCATTAGCAAAATGTGATATAGCAGTTCACATTTTTGAAAGAATATTTCACGCAGCACTACAGCACTGTCCAAAGCTGAGGGTATAACAATCAATGCATGACTGTAAAACACTGTATAATCAACATCAAATAAAAATTCAGAAACTGCTTACCTTCTCCACTTCATCATCAAAATGATCCTCTCCTTGTGTGCCTTTCTTGGCACGCTCCATTAGTGTAGCACGCTTTGCAGCAAGGTACAGAGATCTTTTGATGCGCACATAGAATACTTCTGTGATGGCACGTACAGTGTAGTCAGGTATGAATGTGTGTCGCAACATTGCATCCAAGTTCACAGACTGAAGGCTTCCCATGTTCTGTGGCGTGGGTGAGGTGGGTGAGTCCACTGCAACATTTTATCAGCTCCATCGAAAATCCCAAGAGGACATGGAAATTTACTCTCTCTATTCCCAGCCTCGAATTCTTCTTGGTATATTTAACTTCACCATCTGCACAGGCTGAACTGCACTGATTGACAGAACTATGTATGAACTAGGAAAAATGCCAAGACTTGAATTCAGGACCCCAACATTACAGAAAGTGGTAGCAATATAATTTGATAGAAAATCAATTTCAACCAGAGCTGCAGTATCAGTAATTCACTAAATGTGTTACACAATCACAGGCATGTGACCTTCCTTAAAAAATAAATAGAGAAACTTCGATTTTCATCTTCATCTCCAACCCTGCATGCCTATTAGATGACCCATACAACAGCACATTATAATTCTGCTTAATGGGAATTGGCTATAACAAATTCATTTAGTCAGTTAACTTAATAATACATCATGACTACACTGCAGCCAACAAAATTCAGATTATGTGAATTTCTTACAGCTAGCTCATCAATTGTTTATGATTACTTTCAAACTAAAACACCAACTGAGCTCTTACTCTGAGAGAATAACATAACTCAATGAGGTTATAGCGGGCCAGGCATGTAACTCAGATGGGAACAAAAAAAAATGCTGAGAATTCTGGTTGGGAAACATCTTGGAATGTGGTCACTATATGCACTGAACGGAAGTGGCTCAGGATCATGTCCAACGATGAGCTCTGGTATTAGTAGTGTCAAACCTTCGAACAAACCAGGAAGTAAGTTACTTAGCTCTGATTAATAGTAATATGGAATCACAATAGTTTCAGTGTCACCAACTTACCCATACCGATGTTCTGAATGAGGGCCTGTGTCCCAAAATATGTGAAGGGCCCACTTTCAAAGACCAGATTCTCCTTTCCCACCATCACCTCCACGCGCCCCTCCAGGATCAGCACAAAGTAGTCTATTGCTTTACCCTGCAACATAATCCATGCACACAAAGAACAGCATTAAGATTAATCAATAACCATCACAATGTCAGTGCAAACTTCATAATTTGGTTTTTTAAGTGACCTCCCATCTATTAAGGGGTTTCATCCCTTTGGATTCTCTGGACAAAAGTTTGTGAAGTTTGTACACATTTCTAATCCCATGCATGCCATATGTCACACTCACCTTATTGTATGAAGGTAAGTCAGAAATTATCCGCACTTTCTCCATAACACATCTTTAGGTTTGTCACACTGCCTCCTATGCATGCATTGTTAAGAGTTGGTACTACTGTGGTCATGTGATCGAAGTTTTACCTTGATTGCATCATTTTCCTTGATGCTGTGACAGTGTAAACATGGCCGCTCTGCCAGCAGTGTGCACCAATGATTAACAAATAGTGATCCGATTTCTCTGGTTGGAAGGTGTGTCAGGGGCTGAAATTCATTGGTGGGTTCATCACTATGAGCCAGAATCCAAAAGCCAGAGTATGGCGTGGAAACACCCGGGATTGCAAACGAAGATGAAAATCATGACACAATCTTTCGTGGGAAAGGTGATGCTAACCGTTTTTTGGGACTCAAAAAGGCCTATACTGGAAGACTACCTGGAAAAAGGGTGTATGATCAACAGTGCAAGATACAGTGATTTGCTGGCCAACAATCTGAAGCCAGGAATTCACACCAAACACCGAGGTCAGACCATTGAAACCATTAACCATTTGTGTTTCCAGGTGCTGGAACACCCTGCCTACAGCCCAGATCTCGCCCTTTCTGACTATCATCTCTTTGGACCGCTCAAAGATGTTTTATGAGGTTTTTGATTTTCTACGGACAAAGAAGTGGGGGGAAGCAGTGCATAAACGGTTGCGCAACCAAATGAAAACCTTCTTCGTGGAGGGAATATGCAAGCTTTTGGACCGCTGGACCAAGTGTATGGAAAAGGGAGGAGACTATGTAGAAAAATGAAGTACTGGTTCAACCCCTACGTTTGTATATATGGATTGGAAAAACAAGAGTGCGGATAATTTCTGACTTCCCTACGTACTTCATCTGATCATCATACTATGCAGTCAAGAGAACAAACTGTGTGATTTTCTCCATTCTATTGTTACTTCCCTCTTAGATTCAAATATTCTAAACGGAATTCTTTTTTCCAGACACCCATAACCTACATTTTTCCTTTAAGATGTGAGATCAAGTTTTATGCTCATTTAAATCCCATATTAAATTATAGTAGAGTAGGGCAAGTGCATGGTAAAATTTCTATTGTTCAATTTTGAGCTACTGCAGCTAATTGCATACTGTTCATAAAATGCTGAGAAATATCTTGAATGATGTCCAGCACCAGCTTTCCATCTGTTATAATTCTGGAGGAAAGCCAGAATGTAAAAATTATTTATTTATTACTCATGACACATTTGCCCCAAGAAACTTGAGAAAGCGTGCAACAGCTGTTTTTTTCCTCTTTTATTTTAAACTGTTCCACTCATACAGCAAATGTGTAAAACATGGAACTGCTGCAATCTTAAGGTTTTTCTCAGATTTTAAAAAATATGAGTCCTGCTGGAGTTACTGACCTTTTTCTGCAATTGATGTAATGTAAAGTGAGCTGATTATTATATAAAAAATATGTATATATATAAGCTACTTCACAACGTAGTCACCGCCAGAACTGAGGCACTTGTCATATCGATGAATAAGTTTTTGTATACCTATGTGAAAGAAGTCTGCCACCTGTGAGCTCAGCCAGGTCTCAACACCTTCCATCAACTCCTCATTATTACTGAAGCACTGTGATCCCAATCAGTTCTTCAGGTAGGTAAACAGGTGGTAGTCACTTGGAGCAAAATCAGGGCTATAGGTCAAACAACTCCCATTTGAAATGCTTCAGCAGTGCACAAGTGTGAGCAGCTGTATGTGTGCTCACATTATCATGGAGGAGCACTAAACCATATGTCAGCATTCCACATCTTTTGTTCTGAATGGCCCTATGCAGTTTTTTTTAGTGTTTTGCAAGCACATATGTTGTTAATGAGGTTCCTTGTTGCATGAATTCCACCTTCAGCACTCCTTTCTTGTTCCAGAAAACAGTTACTTCCTGGCAGACATTTCTTTAAACTCTTTCACCTTGTCTGGTGAATGTTTATGCCTTGACTGCACTTTGGTTTCAACATTAAAAAATGAAAACCAAGTTTTATCACTTAGTCCCACCCCACTAGCAATATAAAAAGTCTCTTGTACTGCGGCCACTTCTGGCCTATTGTACCAGCCCCAGATGACAGGTGAGGGTGATTGTGGAGCAACTGGTGGAATGAAGATTGGCAGGGGAAACCGAAGTACTTGGAGAAAACCTACCCCAGTGCCACAATGTCAACCACAAATCCCACTTGACCAGACCCGGGATCAAACCTGGGCCGCCGCAGTGGGAAGCCAGCGACTAACTGTTTGAGCTATGGTGTGGCCTTTCTCTGCACTTACTGTACACCCATGAGCATTTTCAGAATGCATGTTACGCAAAACTTGTGATAGCCTAGCCTACCTGTGACAATCTCACAGAGATGAATGTGTTATATTTGTGGAAGTTCACATAAAAGTTCTGAAACTGTGAAGAGCCATCTGGCCAAAAACTTCACTCTTCATCATGAACATTTATTTGCCAATCTTTGAATATTCTACACCACTATCTTACAGTTCCTGCACTCATTACATTTCGGCCTTAAACCGTGCATTATTCAAGATGGGCTTCCACAAATCTCATGTTTTCAGGATGAACAAAGCAGGTAACAGCAAGAATTTCACAGCTGACGCAATTACCAGTCACAGGACACAACAGAACTCACTCTGCAGAGACAAGAACAAACACCATGTGGACAGTTATGTGATGGTTTACAAGGCTACCTTGCATGCACAAGCTCTCCTCTGCTCCTATATTAGTTGCCTAAAATATATGGAGGTTACTTTCCAAACAGCCCTCATCTTGAAGCATACATACAACCACAATGTCTTGGAGTTCAATATTTTTTTTTAAGTAAAGGCACCTTAATGGACATTAAATGAAATAGAAAACATTACAAAAATTAAGTATTATATAATTTTAAATGAAGGTTTATAAATTAAACTCACAATATGTTCTGACTGAACATTAGGATAGTTCTTACTCAAAGCGTTTTTTAATTTATATTGAATGAACTGGGGAAAATTTAAAGGCACATTCCATATTCTTCCTGTTTTGGGCTCTGGGAAATATGTAACAATACCTTCTACTCATACTTCTCAAATTTCTCCAGCAGCTGGCCATGAAAAGGAGATCACATTCTTGGGCTGAGTTGAGCTGAGTCACAAAAATTTAACTTCCAGTAGATTGTAAATGTTCATGTTAACAATTTTCCCTATGAAGGTTTCAGCAGTTCCTTTGGCTGTAAATTTGATCAACACAAAGCTGCTGATATATTTATTTTCTCCTTGTAGGAACTGTTATAATCCATGTTTCCCAAATTATTCTTAGTCCACAAACATCAAAAATTTGTCAAGTTCCCTCGTAGGGCTGACTCTATTCCAGCTTTTGTTTCAGAGCATGACTTCCTTGTTTTTTTATGTAATTCTGAACAATATTTCCTTGACATTGAAAAAATATCATGATTAATAACAACACAAATTAGCAACAAATTCTGGATGGAACAGTTGGTCAAGCAAACTGCTGGTCCTTACAAGCACAATCATTCTTGGTTGCAAGTCCCGCATGACTCATGACCATATTCTACTACCTCATTATTCTGGGAGTTGTGCAACTGGGATGTGTTAACCCAGAAGTTGCCTAGCAACATTAGAGAGGATATAGAGACACATGGACAGCAAGGTGATCTCTATAAGCCTACTTTTATTTTTTCAAAATAAGGAAGACAATCTAAAAGTAATCTATCATACTGTCTGAAATCATTTCCCATACTGGAGTAAGTGCTTGACCTGCTTGGAGTAAATCTGCCTAGTTCACACACTTCTCCTGAACTGCTAGCACATGTGGTGAGTTATTCACAAAAAACAAGTTAAAAGATTAATACAATGCAATAATTTATACTCACTTGATTAGAACGAGCTAATTTACAAAGGGGAAAACTCTGAAAACTTCGAGAGGTAAAATTTCAGGAAATGAGCAATAGTTATCCCTGAAGCACTGCACCTCTGTTACTTGAACCAGGAGACTTAACTGACAGCTGGGTTAACCTCACTCACCATCATGAATTCGCATACCACTAACAGTCAGTAGTGACATCACAGTATTAGACAATGCACCAACATGCTCTCAGTGTCAATATGTTTAAAATTTTCAAAGTAACATGTGAGCAAAACGTTTGCCCCATTCATGCTCCTTCCCCACTCTACCTTACACTTCTGCACTTGGATGTGTAGTATCAAAAGATAAGATGATTGAAAGTCATGAAATGGAAAGCATGTGGAAGGAAGCAGCCATGACATACTGCTTCAGTTGTTGCATGTTTGTCTATCATGTGATATACAACGGCAACTACTCTCATTGGTGCAGCCACAGTATTTCACTTGTGTTGCATATAACAGCAGTGTCTACATTCTGTCTTCCAACATATCACTCAAATGAGATTATTTAACATTTAAATATACCATTTCTTCTACTGACAGACCTTTCTGAAAACCCTGTGTTAATCCCACTTAAGAAAAAGGAGCTAAATGAATGAATGTTTTCTTATTAGATGCTACCCACTATTATCAGAAGACTTGGATGAATTATGGCAGCCACAAGAGAAGTACGCAAGCTATACAGTTTCACTTACTTACTTACTCATGGAGCTGAGCACTTCTGGAGGAGCCGCCAATTCTGCAGCTACTCAAGAATTTCCCAGTATTCTATGGAACCCGAAGGTTCATTACCGTGTTCACAAGAGCCCTCCACTGGTCCTTATCCTGAGCCAGATCAATCCAATCCACCCCATCCCATCCTATCTCTCTAAGGTACATTTTAATATTGTCCACCCATCTACGTCTTGGTCTTCCCAGTGTTCTCTTTCCATCTGGTTTTCCCACCAATGTCCTATATGTATTCTTCCTCTCCACCATTCGTGCTACATGCCCTGCGCATCTCATCCTCCTTGACTTCACCATTCTAATTATACTTGGAGAAGAGTACAAGTTATGAAGCTCCTCATTATGCAATTTTCTCCAGCCTTCTGTCACTTCATCTCTCTTCGGTCCAAATATTCTCCTCAACACCCTGTTCTCAAACACCCTCAGTCTATGTTCCTCCCTTAATGTCAGAGACCAAGTTTCACACCCATACAGAACCACAGGCAAAATGATAGTTTTGTATATTCTGATTTTTATGTTTTTCGACAGCAGACGAGAAGAAAAAAGGTTCTGGACTGAATGGTAGCAAGGATTACCCAAGTTCAACGTCCTCTTAATTTCTTCCTGAATCAGGTTTCGATCTGTTACTATTGTTCCCAAATATCTGAACTGTGCCACAGTTTCACTATACCTGTGAATATATGAGAGTCTGCGGGTCATTGCGGGCCTTGTCACGGTTCTTCACCTTGATGTGATAGATCACGTCCTGCTTCAGCATTCTCCGCAGGATTGTTTCTGAGATGATGTCTGGCTTAAAGGCATCCACCGCTGCACAAGAAGCACATGCAAAACTCACTCTCTGCTAACACAGATCAAAGATTTGACATCAAAGTCAACCACTGAAATATTCCTTCAGACTGTTAATCATATTCCCATTTTTATAATCTATATCTTGAAAATGTATTTTAATATTATCTTCCAATTTACACCTGGAGGTCTCAACCTAACATTTCCCCAAAGAAAATTTTACTTGTCTTCCCACATGCTGATACGTACAAACCCCATCTTGAAACAAATCACAGACTTCACAATTACAGATTTTCACCCATTCCACACTTCTCTCTTATGTCCAAATATTTTTGAGTCCTAAATTATAATCATCAGATGCAACATACTATATATGTGGGGCAATCCAAAAGTTCCCAAAAATATATTAATAAAAACTATTACATCTTACCTGGCTCTTATTCTGCATCATCACCTTCAAAGTAGTCCCCTTGGGAGCGCATACACTGTTCCCAGCATTTCTGCCACTTTTCAAATGCATCCTGGAAGTCTTTCTTTGTTAGGGTTAGTACCGTCTGCATTTCCACTTAAATTTCCTCAACTGTATCAAATCTTTGCCCCTTCAACTTGATTTTCATCTTCGGGAAGAGAAAGAAGTCGCATGGAGCTAAGTCTGGCAAGTATGGTGGGTGGGGAACAACTACCATCTTGTTTTTAGCCAAAAATTCCTGCACAATTCAAGCCATATGCAGTCATGCGTTGTCATGGTGGAGTACCCAGTCGTTTGGATGCCACTTCTCTGGACATTTTCTCCTCATGTCCTTCCTCAAATGCCTAATAACATCGCGATAGAACTCTTTACTGACTGTCTGACTATGAGGGACGAACTCCTTATGAACAATCCCGTAAATATAAAAAAAAAAAAAAGCAGATCAACATGGACGTAATATTGCTCTTGACTTGTCCAGCTTTTTTTGGCTGAGGTGAAGGACTCTTCCATTGCGATGATTGCTGCTTACTTTCAGGGTCATAGCCATAAACCCAACTTTCACCNCCACTTCTCTGGACATTTTCTCCTCATGTCCTTCCTCAAATGCCTAATAACATCGCGATAGAACTCTTTACTGACTGTCTGACTATGAGGGACGAACTCCTTATGAACAATCCCGTAAATATAAAAAAAAAAAAAAGCAGATCAACATGGACGTAATATTGCTCTTGACTTGTCCAGCTTTTTTTGGCTGAGGTGAAGGACTCTTCCATTGCGATGATTGCTGCTTACTTTCAGGGTCATAGCCATAAACCCAACTTTCACCACCAGTAACAACCTTCAAAAGAAAGTTTGGATCCTCTTGAAGCTATTGTTGAAGTTCCCTGCAGACTTCCAAGCGATGCTGCTTCTGTTCATTTTGCAGCAGTTGTGGCACAAACTTCGCCGCAATCCTCATGTTCAGTTCCTCTGACAAAATTCATTGACATGTACCATAACTTAGCCCCAAGGTGTTACAGAGGTCTTGGATGGTCAGTCAACAATCTTGCAGAATCAGATCCCTAAATTTCACGACATTTTCTGGTGTGGTGCCAGTCGACGGCTGTCCCAAATCATCATCATCATCATCATCATCATCATCAGTTGATGTTCAGCCATTTTTTAAGCATTTATACCAGTCGTAAGTTTGTGTCTGGCCTAAACTGTTGACACCAAACGCTTGCTTCCACATTTGGTGCGTTTCTGCAGCAGTTTTCCCAAGTTTAAAACAAACCTTTATACAGACATGCTGCTCTCTCAGGAAAGACATCGCAAAACCACAAACTCACAGAAACACAAAAATGGAAATATGTTCACCAACAATAAACCCTACCACTAAACTACACGCCACTTGCCACACTGATTCAAGAAGGGTGTGTGGGGAGACACCTATCGGTATTTCAATGTACTCATAGCCATTTGAGCACAAAATTCAAATTTCGGGAACTTTTGGATTGCACCACATAGTTTTAATAAAATCAGACAATGGACACAGCCCAAAATGATAGTTTTCAGCAATGTAGTTGTACAATGTGAATTTATAAAAAAAAACTTTATTATATTATGATTTGCCCAACATGTTTCTGCCACTCACACCCTTTATAGGCCCTTCAATATAAAACAGATTTACATTGGATGTTGTTTTATTTAAGTAAGAGCAAGTTAAATATATAATTAATAATGCAGATTTAGCTTTATTACTTTAAATTTAAATATAGAATGCATCTTTATTATTAGATCCTTGTATACAGACAGTTCCCAGTCGTTCTGACTACTAAAGGGGATAAGATGCATGAATAACTGAAAACCATGGATAATCTACAATATTTTGATTTGCATTTTTAAAAAAACATCACAAATGACTTAATCACTTCTTACATATTATGTCCACACAAGCGACTTACATTTTTCACAAATAGTTATACATATCTGTTTGAGTTCTACAGATATCTCTTCACAACAGTTCAGACTTCCCTTGTGGCTGAATATCATGGTATTCAAACCTCCTTTAAGCTATGCAGCCTTGTGCAGTGTCATGCTATGACTGAAACAATTACCGCATCCTTCTTCTTCACTCTCTATGCCCCAATTCTCTTCCTCAACCCTACGTTCTGTAGCAGCAGTGTCAATATCTGCATCAATCAAGTAATGAAGGCCAGGTTCACATGTACTGGTCTGCCACCATTCTTCAAGATGTTTGTCACTGTGGTTTTCAAACCTTTCAAGCATTTCTCAAAACAGTAATTTTTACTTGTTTACTTCTTTGTTGCACAAGACTTAGAAATCATCTTTGTGAAAATCCAGAAGAAGTTCACTTCAATGACCAAACAAACATTATTCTTTTCACTGACGAGCCAGCCTAGACACGCCAGTTCCCATAAACAATTTTTAACCATAACAATCATTACAAGTTTCTTACTTACATTCACAGTTCATTTACCACACTGTCATTAACTCAGCCTATATGGCAAAATTAGAGTCTCAATGTGTGCTTTCCGAATGCATTTGCACATGTGACTGCAAGACATTCTTTATTAAAAAAAAAACAATGGGTCTTGTAGGAATGCATTGCCAACATAACTTCACAATACCGTAAATATGGTCAGGTTTCAGGTCTTCTACTTGCACAAATTTCTGTAATTCTAGGCAACAGCACTGACCCTAACAAATTCCCTCACGAATACTACAATGATGCTTAAATCAGTTTAGCCACCCATGTGAGGCCTTGAATTCAACTTCTATTCCCAGTGCTTAATGAAAGAACTTCGCATTCTGAGAAAACAAGTGATCTGACGTGGGCGTTCCTTGACTTGTTTCTGACTGAAAGGGACACAGCATAACAGCTTTGTCTAGCTTCACCTTCTGGGTTTTAGCTGTATCATGTTATCATGCACTGAACCCATTCCAATGTTTCAGCTACACTGCAAACGCTACCTTCAGGGTGAATTTCAGGGAAAGAAGATATGGTCCAACGAATGTCTCACAGTAGAAGTGTGAGACGTACAGCACAATGCTATTGCAAAGGTGTAATGGCCAAATATACGAGCGCTATTCAGAAAGTAACCTCTGGCAAGCTGTTAACAAAACAAGCAATAAAAAATTATATAAAAAAGTATGTACATACTCAACTACGTCTCAAGTAGTCACTGCCAGAATTGAGACAGTTGTCATACCAGGGAATAAGTTTTTGTATTCCTGCGTCAAATATGTCTGCCACCTGTGAGCTCAGCCAGGTCTCAACACCTTCGATCAACTCCCCATTACTGTTGAAGCAATGTAATCCCAACCAGTTCTACAGGTATGTTAACAGGTGGTAATCACTTGAAGTGAGATCAGGGGCATAAGGGGGTCGTCAAACAACTGCCACTTGAAATGTACCAGCATTACTTGAGCGTGAGCAGCTGTATGTGGACGCGCATTATAATGCTGGAGCACTGCACCAGATGTTACCATTCCATATCTTTTGTACTGAATGGCCCTATGCAGTTTTTTAGCATTTTGCAATACACTTTTTATGCTATTGTGGTCCCTTATGGTATGAATTACAGCACCAGCACTCCTTTCTGGTCCCAAAAAACAGTTGCCATCAGCTTTCTGGAAGATGTTTGTTTAAACTTTTTGCCTTGTTTTGTGAATGTCTGTGCATTCAATGCCTTGAATGCTCTTTGGTTTCAACATTCAAATTGAAAACCAGGCTTCATCATCTGTGATGAAGTGATTGAGGAATTCATCACCATCTTTGTGGAATCAATCTAAGAATCCAAAGCTGAAGGAAGCTATTCTCTGTGTTTAGTGCACACCCCTGTGCATTTTTGGAACCCATCTTGCACAAAAATTGTGATAGCCTAGCCTGCAGGTGACCATGTTGAGAACAGGGTGCTGAGGGGAATAACTGGACCCAAGAGAAGAGTTCTATTTTAGAAACCTGAAGACAAGACATAGATATAAATGAGCCTATAATATTAAAATGAATCTTAAAGAAATAGAGTATGATGATACACAGTGAACTAATCTGGCTCAAGACAGTGCCCAGTGACAGGCTATTATGTACATGCAATGGACTTTCTGGTTCCATTAAAGGCAGGAAATTTAGCTGTGCAACTATTAGCTTCTTATGGATTCTGCTCCATGCAGCTAGTTACGTGGTTGGTACAGCATCCTTAACCCTTCGGTGACGGGTTCGTACCTGGCATGCCAGCAGCTTCTATCACATGTCGCTGGGGTCAGTACCCCACACGTGTAGTGCAGTTCTAAGTTTCAGCTCATATTTTGAACCATTGTTTATCATGTAAAGTAATTCTTTTGGTATGAAATTAAAGAGGAAATTTCAGGTATCATTTCGTATATTCATTGTCCCACTTTGAACTTCCCATGGGAGTTGTAATACATTTGAATTCTTTGAAAAAGTTTTCTATTTCAACACTTGGTGTGCTTCTTACCATATAAATCTACCTCTGCCTTGGGGAATTCTTATGATCCAAATATGTTAGATCGATACTGTGTGCTATCCTCTATGTTGATCAAATGAAATTTGATTCTCCTGAGCCATATTCTGAACTGTGCTGCTTCAACACTGGTATTTTTATCTACGAGAAGACACATGGAGAATCTATGACTTTGAGATGTGATGTTGACTCTAAGAAGTGTGTTATGACTCCTATGTAGCAAACCATAAACAGTTCACTACATGAACGGTACTACTGTAATTCCCCCTTGTTCTATGAATACACACCAAGCAGTCTGGTTAGCCAAGGCCAGCCACAAGAACAAAGTGGCCAGTTGTGTTGTGTCATGACCAGTGAAGAATATATTTACTTCAAACCGAATCAGAACACAGTTTTATCAGATTTGGAATGAGACACTGAAAATGGATGTCTGTGCTTTTCTTGATTCTGTGGTAAAAAAATAAATAAATAAATAAAGCTATCCCTGTACCAGGCCGTGAAGGCCCATGGGGTTGTGAGACGTTGAGGGTCCCACATCATCTAGACAATCGGCTCAAAGATGGCGGTAAGGTTGTCAGCCTTACACGCCGGCCACACTTTACTCCCCAGGAAAATTATTTAATTAATTCCTGGTACTCATTTCTGTTAGAGGCTGAGTAAACCCCAGGGCCTAGTGCAGCTGGAAGGATTAGGTCAACTGAAAAAAATCCAATGACCTCATCGGGACTTGAATCTGCGATCTTCCAGCTTGTAGCATAGCCCCTCAACCACCTCGATTCTGTGGTAAATGACAGAATCGAGAATAGCACAAACATCCATTGGGAGAATATGCAAAACTATAAAGGACAAAAATTTTTTAATGTGATGATAATATGTAGGAATAACACAAGGAAAAGAATAGCTCAATTGTCAGTCAGAATTCAGTTAATTAAGGGACTCCCCGTGAAATATGCTAAAGCTGTAGAACACAAAGTGCTGGGTTGACATTCGTCAGACAAGACAGTGCCCCATCTAAGAGAAAGAAGTTTTATAAGCAAGATTCCACCAAGTGAAGAAATCAAGACAACAGAAACGTCATGTTGTATGTCAAAAACTGTGTGATATGGGACTCTGTGTGGAATATTTTCATGATTAACACACCCAGCTGAACTCCTAAGGTAATATGATACTATCATTCATAATTTTTATAGGCTTACTGTGCCAAAAAAATAATTTTAAAGCACCAATTCTATATACATTTCTGAACATAGTGTGAAAATTATAAAAACAGAACTCCAGTTTTCCCAATTTATTACCGTTTAAGTGAAATGTTGCACCCTCCAATTAAATATTTAAATATCATCCAGCACAGGAGTTGAGTTGGAATTAGATGCCTGCTGGCAATGAAGAGTTAAATTAACTACAAATTGGAAAGAAAAAATGGTAACCACCATTATACCCATAAATAGTGGCTTAAAATTTGTAGTAATATTTAACTGTTCTTATGTTACATTACGTTTATTTATATTATATTATATTAACGCCTTTTGAACCTAAAATATTCTAAATTATTATTGAAGTTAATATGTTTCTTTATGTCTGCTTGCAGTCTAGGTACAGTACATGCAATTCATTCCACACTACGTGAATATGAATGACGTGGCAGGTGATTGCAAGAAGCTAAATAGTATGCATGCCGGTCACAGTAGCCGAGCGGTCTAAGGCATGCACTGTCTTCGCTTGCTCGGAAGCCGAGACCGTGGGTTCGAATCCCACTCAGGGCATGGATGTTTGTGTGCGTTTTTCTGTGTTTGTCTACAGGTAGAGGCCTTGCGACGAGCTGATCACTCGCCCAAGGAGTCCTACCATATGTGTAAGATCTAGTAAACCGAAGTGAAACGGAGAGTTTCATGGAGGTAGGCCTAGGCCCAAATTGGGGCTGTAGCACCACAGAAAAAAAAAATAGTATGCATACTGGCACACATTCAGTATGAAAGTACTGAGACTCAATAGAGAATAAGAAATGAAAAGTGTATAAAGACTGTGTAAGGTAATGAGCACAGAGTAATTTTTAAGATAACATCTGAGTATTTGATTGGAAAGAATAAGGAAGCAGCTAGAACCAGCTTTGCTTGTGCTCTTACCAGTGCTCAGGTACTGGAAAGTAGCTAATGTCAGCTGTGGGGAAATATAGATCCGCTGGTTCTCACGTCGCTCTGCAAAAATAGTGAAGTCCTGCTTTGTCATCTTCTCATTCCTGCGACGCTTGGATCTGTTATCAGCTGCAATCAAAATAGCCCTCACACTAATTGCTATTAATTACCAAATATAGGTGACCTCCAATACAGACAGTTTGATTTATGATGTTTATACATCTGTCAATGGATTAATTCACAATGCAGAAACTTGCATCTGTGACACTTTTCAACATGACAAACACTGTGAAAGAACTCTGCATGGATCAGTAAGTCAGTCTGGTTTCCGATACAACTTGATACCACAAACTATGAAAATGTTTTTCAGTAATGAAGAATACTATCTTCTGGGGCATGAGACCATGCAGTTTGGCAGAATGTACTCCATCTTCAGAATCAAAGCTTAAGGTAAGCAAGATAACAAGTAGCAAGCACAGTACTCCCACCTTCCGGATGACAGAACTCTTCATAGCATGAATTCTAACAAGTTACAGCTTTTAAAACAAGGTCAGTACTATACACATATACAGGGTGATTCACGAAGTTTTATCCCGGCTTATGGTACATATTCCTGCGGTTATTTCCTGCAAAATTTCCTTATAAACTTGTGGTCAATTTTCAATAGTTACGGAGTAACAATAGATTTTCGAAACGCATCAATGTGAATGCAGCGCTATGCTTCAGCGTGGGCGACCATACGTTCCAGTCAGCTATGTCAGCAGATAAGGTAGACCGGTTTGAATGTTGCGCATAGGTAGATAGGCAGAACGGTTCATACGCGTGTGATGCATTGTGTTGATGTGCAGGGAGACATTTTTGAAAATCTTATGTAAATCCAGCCGTCTTCTAAAGCACTACAGTTTAAAGGAAACAGATTGATAGAAGGGTGTGATATGCAACCATTGGTATGTTTACAGAATGGGATGCTGAAAATAATGTAATTTTGTAACACAAAATCGATGAAAAATGTTGCACAATGCAAAATTAAGAAATTGAACAAAAAAAAATTGGTTTTAGAATGCTTTTTTCCTAAAACATTAACGATTTAAAAAGTGTTTGTACTGTATTTCTAATTTGTTTTGACTGAAAATCGAAGAAAGAAAGATTTTTCGCCAGTTTTCAAATTACTGCACCTCTTTAATTATGAGTTGGATACCATTAGTATATTAACATTTTTTGTTCCAAATTACCTCTGGAATGCCCTCCCTAAGTGGGGGTAAAACTTCGTGAATCACCCTGTATAACATCTTATATTTATAATGTTTGGTGGATAGTTTGGTTTTGCTTGTTGTCATGAACACTGCAAACAGTATCCAATTTGTGATGGTGTTTCCAGGAATGCATTCTGTTATAACAGTGAAGATTACCTATAAACACATTCTTCACATTCTAATAGACTCAGTGTACCATAAAGAACTGCCTACTATACTCTGTAATTTCAGTCTGCAAGCGAACCATACCGACCAAGCAACCGCCGCTTGTCAGTGAAGTTTTAGTTCCAGTGTGTTTATATGAGAAATAATAACTATTTTCACAATTTTTGGTAAATAGACACAGAGTTTAGCCTGGTGATTGGATTTATTAAACTCTTACAATTCATAAATACAATTAATTTTAGCACTATCGCTAATTCTCACATGTTAGAATTCACTACAGCATGCACTAAATCTATTTATAAGTGTTCAATAAATCCAATTACCAACCAAACCCCATGTTTAGTCACTAACATGTAACAACTGTTGTCAGAAGTTGGTTTAACTGGATTGAATTGACTGAATGATTGGAATGCCTGCTGGCAAAGAACAGATAATGGCCATAATGAAAGCCAGTCAAGAAAAAATGGAGGCCAAAGTGAAAGCCCATTGAGGAGAAATGAAGCCCATGATGGAGGCCTGGCTAGAAGAGTCAACGGCCAGTTGAGAAAAGGAAGCTACTCAAGAAAAGATAGAAACCGTAGCAGAGCACTACAAAGGGGTTCCATGCACAGAAGCCACACACCTGCTTACCGCCCTGCATGGCCGGGCTTCCAATGTTCTACATGAAGTCCTTAAAGGAGAAGACTATCAGTGCAAATGAGGACTGACTTGGGGACCAGCAGCAGGTCACAGAGTACCAAGATCAAATGATGATACGGACCCAAGACAATGGTGAGTTCCTGCAGGAGTTTGCCATCACCATGAAATAAGTGACCCACTGTAATTATCCTGCACTACACAAGAAACACATTCATAGGGGACCAGGCAAGGCAATGCAATGGCATAAGAGACAGCAGCATAAAACAGCAGCTACTTCTTGGAAGCAAGAAGACACTCAGGCAGACCCTAGAGCTGGAAGTGTAAAGTTAGCTGTCAGGTTTAACCTTTAACGGCCGAATGTTATAATTATTCGCATCAAGTAGCACCCCGAGCTGGCCGAATGTTATAATTTTTAGGGACAAGCCACGTGCTTCCTTTGTGAGTGCTGGCAGTTTGACCTTGGGTTTGAAACCCAAACAAACTCATGAACGTTCATGTCAGATGTTTATTTGTTAGCTCTGAACAATGAAATCGTTTATCAGGGTACTGGTTTCGAAACTATTTACGTTTAGATATGACTGTTTATGACCTGGTGAGCCAATAGAGGTCAGCTTTGTTTTGAGAAGTTAGAGGAGGAAATATTCGTAAGCACTTTCATAGCAGTGCTGCCAGAGCTTTCAAGGAAGTGTGGCTCATTCAGGGATTGGTTTGCAGTGTTGAATTCTCAGTTAGGACGTCAGTGGCGGATTTACTATATTTTGTTAAAAGTTAGGAAGTCAGTGTCAGACTCCTGTATTTCTTTTATATCATTTTTATTGTGTATCTCGGAAGTGGTATAAATACACTGAGCCAGTGTTACTTTGTGCGTAAAGACATCTTCGTCACNAACATTTTTTGTTCCAAATTACCTCTGGAATGCCCTCCCTAAGTGGGGGTAAAACTTCGTGAATCACCCTGTATAACATCTTATATTTATAATGTTTGGTGGATAGTTTGGTTTTGCTTGTTGTCATGAACACTGCAAACAGTATCCAATTTGTGATGGTGTTTCCAGGAATGCATTCTGTTATAACAGTGAAGATTACCTATAAACACATTCTTCACATTCTAATAGACTCAGTGTACCATAAAGAACTGCCTACTATACTCTGTAATTTCAGTCTGCAAGCGAACCATACCGACCAAGCAACCGCCGCTTGTCAGTGAAGTTTTAGTTCCAGTGTGTTTATATGAGAAATAATAACTATTTTCACAATTTTTGGTAAATAGACACAGAGTTTAGCCTGGTGATTGGATTTATTAAACTCTTACAATTCATAAATACAATTAATTTTAGCACTATCGCTAATTCTCACATGTTAGAATTCACTACAGCATGCACTAAATCTATTTATAAGTGTTCAATAAATCCAATTACCAACCAAACCCCATGTTTAGTCACTAACATGTAACAACTGTTGTCAGAAGTTGGTTTAACTGGATTGAATTGACTGAATGATTGGAATGCCTGCTGGCAAAGAACAGATAATGGCCATAATGAAAGCCAGTCAAGAAAAAATGGAGGCCAAAGTGAAAGCCCATTGAGGAGAAATGAAGCCCATGATGGAGGCCTGGCTAGAAGAGTCAACGGCCAGTTGAGAAAAGGAAGCTACTCAAGAAAAGATAGAAACCGTAGCAGAGCACTACAAAGGGGTTCCATGCACAGAAGCCACACACCTGCTTACCGCCCTGCATGGCCGGGCTTCCAATGTTCTACATGAAGTCCTTAAAGGAGAAGACTATCAGTGCAAATGAGGACTGACTTGGGGACCAGCAGCAGGTCACAGAGTACCAAGATCAAATGATGATACGGACCCAAGACAATGGTGAGTTCCTGCAGGAGTTTGCCATCACCATGAAATAAGTGACCCACTGTAATTATCCTGCACTACACAAGAAACACATTCATAGGGGACCAGGCAAGGCAATGCAATGGCATAAGAGACAGCAGCATAAAACAGCAGCTACTTCTTGGAAGCAAGAAGACACTCAGGCAGACCCTACAGCTGGAAGTGTAAAGTTAGCTGTCAGGTTTAACATCATGCCCTCGAAAATGTGTGACAGGGCACTGTGGAGGAGCCAGCCCCCTTCTAAACAGAAGAAGAGACTACTGACAGCTCATGTTCTGGTGCTATAGACCAAAGGCAGCTTTCAAAAGTTCTGTTTCCACAAATTGGAAGCAGAAATGGCAATACACCTGTAGGCTACTCGGGACAACCAGCCTTAAGGAAGGAGCAATGTGATATGACTACTTAAACGTTTTACACTGTGTGGTATGGCAATGGCTCAATAAACACATAACAATAGAGGCTCAGATTCGACAGCTGGAAATGTAAGTTAGATGTGTAACAGTTGCCACCCAGTAAGGACGTGAACTCAGAAGTTGAGAAAACACCTAGTGAAGACAAACAGAGAAGACTTAGTGTGCTGTAGTGAGATGGAGAGCATGAATTAGCAAAAGCATTATAATTACTTGCAGTTATGATTTATAAGTATTCAACAGATCTAATTACCAATTTGAACCCCATGACTAGTCACTAGGTAAAGGTAAAGCTGTCCCTGCACTTAACTAAATAAGCACTATGCCACAGAGTGTGGGGAAGTGAATCTGTAGATCCACATTTTCTCGACCTCGGCACGAGCTGGAGGTGACGGGTCAGCTTCAAGCCCCAACAGCTTTACTCCTGGGGAAAGAACCTCTGGTAGCCACTGCATAGGAGACTGGGTGGACCCCAGAGCCAGTCTTGACAATGTGAAGAAAATTATTGACCCTAGCAGGACTCTGACCCCTCTGTCGTCCTGCCCATAACCAGCTGCTGTACAGACTACACTAACGTGGCTTCCATCTAGTCACTAACACACTAACTTGTGACAATATATTGCTATATGGAAGAATTATAAAGCAATCTATAAAATCACAGAAACAGAAGTTCAACAATTAGCATTAAACAAATTGTTGTGCATTCTGTACACTAGAGTCTGAAGTTTTCAACTCTGTTTGCAACACTTTCCAGCAACCGTTAAATGTGATCTATCTGTATGTCCACATTTCTGTATGCATTAAACATCTAGAGAGCTGCTAAATTCATTTTTAAGAAAATATACTGCGACACGGTGACTGAAAGAATGAACAGTGGCATGAGTAAAGGCTGTCATTGCTAGGGAGCTGCACAGTAAACACTATTCCACAGCAACAAATCAACAGGTGACAATAGGGTAACTGCTGGAAGTGGTGCTATTTGTGTGGTCCACACCAACCCTACACAACGAGGACCAGTAGCAGCAGCCAGTTATTTCAGTTCATGAGTTGCAAACGAGAAGTGGCAGTTCTTGGTTGGTCATGAAGAATCTCCACTGTCAACAGCCACTACCTAGCAACAACTAGCAATGACAGAATAACAAACAGAAGACTTTATGTGTACTGTAGTGATTTAGAGAGTGTATAAAGCAGTAAGATTGTCACAATCACTTGTAGTTTCAAGTTGCAAGCATTCAATACATCAATTATCAATCCAAACCCTTTGTCTAGTCACTAACATGCAACAACATGATAGTGGGGAGCTTCAATAAAATTTATCAACAGATTCAACTATGGCTGAAACCAGATACAAATAATGGGCACTTCACACAAAGAGGTATATGACTTTCTGTGAACACCTACACATTTATCAGACTGAAAAAATGTTTTGAACAAAAGTTGCAGAAACTGGCCAAACACACCTTTATGCTCAATTGACTTTCCATAAGTCTTCTGGCTTTTGAGATAATTAAACATATGGGATACTATATACACATTTCCAAACGTTTATATTCAACATTTAACAGTGGTTTTCTGAACATATTATAAAATTACTTTAATCTCTTATTCTAGATGATAATCAAAGTTCTCTCACCAGAATTTACATGTCTACAAGTATAAAAAACCATATCTAATTAAACTATAATTAACTGAGCTGCCAGAGTCCTATACACTTTTATCATAACTAGTTAACCTATGTGAAAATAAAAGCTACAATTATTTCAGAAAATAGATCACAACTGAGAAAGAAAATGAATGAAGTGTTGAAAAAGTTTACACTGCTTTGAAATCAGATTTGTTGTAAAGAGAGAGTTCATTGGTCTTATTCAGTTTATCTAGAATAATACACCTCTGGAATTTCAGAATATCATTTCCCTTTTTCACAATAGCTAAACTTTCCTTAAGTAATTCAATGAGCATAGGTGTTAGCATATTTGTAAGTCATATAGTAGGGCCGCGCCATAGCTCAAGCAGTAAGTCGCTGGCTTCCCACCGTGGTGGCTCGGGTTAGATCCCATTTCTGGTCAAGTGGGATTTGTGGTGGACAAAGTGGCGCTGGGGCAGGTTTTCTCCAAGTACTTCGGTTTCCCCTGCCAATCTTCATTCCATTCCACCAGTTGCTCCACAATCACCCTCACCTGTCATCTGGGGTAGTACAATAGGCCAGAAGTGGCCACAGTACAAGGGACTTAGTCCCACTCCACTAGCAATAAAATAAAAGTCATATAGTACAAGCAGCTGGGATGTGAAACTGACCACTCACCTCCATCTGATACTAACGTCAAGAATGGCCATGCCATAGTTCAAGCAGTTAGTCGCTGGCTTCCCACCGCAACAGCCCGGGTTCGATCCCAGGTCTGATCAAGTGGGATTTGTGGTGGACAAAGTGGCACTGGGGCGGGTTTTCTCCAAGTACTTCGGTTTCCCCTGCCAATCTTCATTCCACAAAATTCTCCATCATCATAAGCATCCAGGGCAGGCTACAACAGGCCAATCAGTGGCCACCATGCTGAGTAGACCCAGTTGGACTCCATCCCCCACTAAGCGAAGCGAAAAAGTAAAGAATTGTGGAGCTATACCTCCACTCTCCGATATGTCTTCATGGTATGATAATTAATTAACCTCTGGGACAAATTTAACTTTACAGAACATGACTGTTAGGTGTACACTGTATACTTTTATATCTTGTTTACTCACTGTGATCAGCAGTTCTTATAAGAATGAATTCTGAAGTGCAAAAGTGTAAAAACGAAATTTTCTCTTCAGTGCAACTATCAAGATCGCAAACTCTTACAGTTCAAAACAGTAACTAACTCAAAAACAGAATCTGCTGATGATATTTGCTGTCTAACTCCATGTGTTTTTTAAATATTACTTAAAAATGACAACTAAACACTTATCTGCACTTACTCCACACATCCGTCTCATCAACAATCTCAGATTGTATCAACTCCTCAATGACATCCTCAAGCGTGATAAGTCCAATGGTCTCATAGAAAGGATCTCCCTCCCCTTCTGAATTGACACGATGCACAAAGGCCATGTGCCCCTTTATACCTGCAACATTTAGGATATAACACTTTGTTGCACTGCTCACATTTACAAAAGAAAACATGCATGATTATGAAAATGATTGTTCAGCTCCATTTTTTTGCAAATAAAATATGTTGTTAAAACAAGGAAGTAAAAGTAGAAATACTAAAATGTTCAGATGCATAAAATATTTGTCATTCCATTTCATCTCCTAGTAAGTAGATAACACTAGTAAGTCAATAGAAGGCTGATATTTTTGTTCCATACAACATGATAAATGTTTTGTACAATGAGCCATTTCTGAGCAATTTTGTATAAGGCCGTGAGTTTAGCATAATGTGAAACAGAGGTCACACTGGACTAACAGACACCATATTAAGATCACACTATAGATTTCAGTGTATCCCTTCAATACCAGACTTCATCAAAATTGGTAAGTAGTTTTAGACATGCGCAGATATAACCTACACATCATGCAATCAGAACCACTAACCTTCCTTGAACTGTCTGAACATTACATCCAGTGTTGTATCCTCAAACACAAAGTTGCATGGGTTCTGGTAGAATTTGCACAGCGTCTGTAGTGGTGTATTGTCATCTGGGTCCACAAAGGCCAGGTCTTTGATATACAATACTGTCACTATGTTGGAACGTGTCCCCTCATAGACTGGAATGCGGGAATAGCCTGCAATGGATGTTAAGAGCAGTTGTGGTACAGCAGTACAGCAGACTGTGTTGAGAACCTACATAAAACTATGATTTTATATGTTGCATTGGATTGGTGTGATATCTTTTCTCCCATTCTGAGGGAGGTACAATGAATGAAGGTGAGAGGGAAACAAATTAATTTCAAAATGAAAACTAGAATTTCATCTAGCAACCAAACCTCTCCTTCTGTCTCATTCATTCCTGCATGCAAGGCAAAGTGACATTCCGGTACCATCTGTGCAAGCATTAGAAAACACACAGTTATGTATTCTGTCCTTAACAAAACAGAGAACCACACTACAGCATGCAAGAATGCTCTAATAAGCATGCTGAGAACATTAGCACACTAAAGTATATCTGCAATCATAACAGCCAACATAGAACACAAACAAGCAAAACACTCAAACAAACGAATCCCTGAGGTTTAGACCATAAAGAATTTAATTTCATCTCTTCAGAATACAAGTCACACTACATTATATGAGATGGCATAACCCATAATGGGAATATATCCCTCCACTACTGATAACAGAGAACATATATAGGATATATGTTGACAAAATGATAGTGAATACAGAGGAACTGTGACATATCAGTGTTTGGATAAGTATTTGTTACACACTGCATTCTTCATTTTGATCACCCAAGTTTAGACATTTGTAATATATGTGACTGAATATATGTTAATCAAAGAGAATACTGGTACTGAGAAAGAGAAAGCTGAACACAATAATGATCTTCACTTGTGAAAAACTGAATCAGTTTGTGAACAAATGAAAAGACATAAAAAGAATTTTGGCATGGGCTGCATCATCTTCAGTGTCCAGCAATCTTATAAACGCCTCATCTCAACATTAATGTGGTATTTTACTGCAGACAATTTAGGAATTTTAGATAGCAGTGGAAGTTATATGGCACTATGGTCTGAAGACAAAGCTGCCTGTGGATCTTCTAAAGTAATTTTTTGCATTCATGTCAAACCTGAAAAAATTAGCAGCATGGTCTGTTTCTTGTATGAGGCACAATAAAAGCAGAAGTTATACTGTCTTACTGGTATTTCCTGGTATGTATACAAAAAGACATTTTCTGAATATAACATATGTATTTTGGTCCTGACTACTCTTTTTTGGATAATGACAAAGACTGTGGGGTCACTAAAATGAAGAGGAGTGTACTATACATTTATAATCCAGAGGGATTCACAGTCATGAGGATAAAAGACAAAAGAGATTTGTGTCAGTGGTAGAAATACAACAGAAATTTGTGTTTCACATTGTAATAAAATCAGCAAAGAAATTTCAATTCCAGATAGCTCCAAGAATAACAGAAGATACTCCTGGAAGGTACTTTGTTGTTTATACACATAATCCTACAGAAAAAGTGTCAATTTTGATGATCAATGAAGGCAGTATGTGCTGCTAATCTTCTCCTTGTTGTACAGTGAGAACGAAGAGTCTCATCGGCAAAACTCAATGACCTGAGACCTCCTGTGAAATATATACCTTAGGGTAACAGTGACTTTTAAACTCAACTGCTCTCTGTTGCTACACCTCATAAGAAAACAAAACCTGGAAAGTAGCAAAAGTTAATCTGTCAACAGAGTCAGAAACTGAGGTATATAGAGAATCAGATATGGAATAACCAGTTTCAGATGATTCTTATACATCGAGTGCCATAATTTAACATGCTGATAACCCATACATATATGAAAGACAATAATAGTTTCAAAATATACAACAGTTGGTTCTATACTTCTTAGTAAATATATCTGTAATCGTCATGTTTGATCAGTGTATCTATTTCAGTAAACAACTCTTCTTTCACTTCATATGCAGTGTTATTTTATTCATTCAATTCCTTGTGAGTTTAACAATGCTTTCTGATGTTCAGACTGAACAGTGTTGAAATATTCAGCATTACTGCATAACTGAGACACAATGTGCAAGACCATGTAATGACATTTTTTAGATCAGTCTAGGATTTATAGCAAACAGTAATAAAACTGGTTATAGACAAAGTTGATATGACATACTGTGTGACATTAGTGAAAAGTGTCACCACAGAAATATAAATTTCTCTAAGTGCTATCTCTGAATCCCGTTTTCCCCTAACCATTCTGATGCTAGTTATGGGATTCTTGGACCACGCTTGATCTGTTACAATTGAATAATTTAGGAAGCTTGATCTGCTTCTATCAGTTCAAGATGCATTCACAAATGGTTAAACACAGAGAACCAATGATGGCCACCATCAGCTTCATCAGTTACTTGATCATTCTCCTGAGGATCTCACACAGGGTTCCAAAGACAAGGGTTTGAACATATGCACAGGACATTCCAGTAAAGCATGGCCTGAGCCTTCAAACTCCTCATTCCATTCAGTTTACAAATGTTGTGGCTGCAGTATCACCAAAGCAGTTGCGAGCATATTCCAATCAGCAGATCACACTTAAGCGTTTCTCAACTTATTAACTTTTACATGCAACGGTACTACAGACACTATGAAAAATCTGAATCACATCAAAGCATAAGAGGCACACAACAACTTTTCCCTGTACACATAACAATATACTCTTTACTAATAATTATCACTTATATACTTTCAGTGAAAGAATATGTAAAAAGACTTAACTCATACTTTTTCTCCATTGAAGTGTGCTGTGTATTTTCCAGTTACCAGTGCACACACTGAGCAAAACACCTCTAGACACCTTCCTGCTTTTCACAACTGCAGCTAATGCAGATGCTCTGATTTTCATCCCCAGTACAACGTGTGTTTAATAAGTACTGTACTAAAATGGCTTCTCTTTCATAGAATCGTTTTTCATATCACATTACAATAATGCAAGCCATAAGAATTACCCTTACATTATTTGGACATATACTGCGTATGATGTGATCCCATACAACACTATATGGTGAACAAAAAAGCTATGTACTGTACAAACATGGTGTGAAAAGGACTGAGACCACAGGAAATAACAAGAACTTAAATGAATGGCTCCCAATGATACACTTCTATGAACATTATTATGAACCTGCAGGTTTCACAACAGCAAGGAATTCCTTGAAGAGAACCCCCTACACCAAATATTCATTACCTTGCTTCATGATCTCAGACACAGTCTCAAAGTCAAGGATGGTATCATATGCCAGCATGAAGACATCTTCCAAACGGGTCATCACTTCACTCACTATTTTCTTCTTAAGCTCCAGAGCTCCTGAGATGATGTTCACCTCATCACGTTCCAAATCATTGTACTCTGTTGTCAGCTGAAACACACACAAGGCTGAACTTATCATTTCACTAACTGATCTAGAACATCTCATAACAAGATAATATGCTCACCTTGACTAGCTATTGCAGATACCCCATTGCCAAGTCCACGTCAGGAACATGATGCATTTACCTTGAGTAGCCCTTGTAGATGCTATTTCTTGGGAGCTGGAATAACTGTGAGTACAGCGACAGGCTATGGATTAGACTGCTGAGGGTTTGATACCCAGCAGGGCCAAGAAATTTTTATCTACTCCGCAGCATCAAGACTGGCTGCAAGGCCCACCCAGCCTCCTTCCTACCCAATGGGTAATTTGGGCTCCTTCGCTGGAGGTAAAGCAGCCAGGGCATAACACTGACCACTCCCCTCTATCTCATGCTGAGTTCAAGAATGGTGGAGCTATGCCTCCAGTCCCCCATATGTCTTCATGGCATGGTATATAATTAATTATGCACAGGGCAACTTTTTACTTTAGATGCTCATTGCTGCAGACATTTTCAGCTGCACATCCAGAATTTGATAATATGTTCACGCTGACTGGATACTGCAAATGAGCCTTGTTGCAAACAGTCCAGACTGGAATAATGTGCTCTCTTTGACTAGTTCCTGTAGATGCTCCTAGTAAACACTGACAGCTCCATCCAGAACATGATGATATGCTCTCAAAGGACTCCTGCTGATGCTCCTTGCTGCAGACATTTCTCGGTGAACATGCAGAATGCAATGCACTCATTTGAGAAATTCCTGCAGATGTCCCTTGTTGCAGAAACTCACAGCTTCATATCCAGAATGTGATGAAGTGCTCACCTTGACTAGTCCTGGCTGATGCTCACTGTTGCCAATACTCCCAGATGTGATGGTCTGCTCATCTTACCTAGTTCTTGCACATGCTCCTTGCTGCAGACATTCCCAGTTTCACATCAAGAATGTGATGATGTGCTCACACTGATCGTCTCCTACAAACACTCCTTCCTTCAGACATTACCAGCTCAAAATATGGAACATGTGCTCACCTTCGCTATCCACAGCAGACGATTTGTGTTAAACACACTGCTAAGTTCCATGCCCAGAATGTTAAGATCTACTCACCTTCAGTAGGTCCTACAGACATTCTCTGTTGTACACACTGCACAGGTTCTACATTCAGAATGTGCTCACCTGTACAAAAATGTGCAGACAATTCCTTCTGTACAGACTGTCCAATTCCACATCTATAAAGTGATGCATACTCACCTTGACAAGCTCCTTCAAACGTTCCCTGTTGTACACATTGCCCAGTTCCACACCCAGAATGCGATCCAGCAACTTGCTTATGGGATAGGAGAGTGGAAATGTGACGACCATCACGAGACGTGTGATGTAAATTGTCTTGGCTCCAACTGCTAGCCCATAGCGTGAACAGATTGCCTGGGGGCAGATCTCACCAAAGATAACTATGGCAAGTGTCGAGCCAATGATAGCCACGAGACCTGAAGTTAAGTCATCCATAATTATAGTAAGTGTTGAATTGACAAGCACATTTCCCAGCAGGATGCTACACAAAAGATAGTTCCCTGTCTTCCGCACTGGCATAATGGCACGTGCGTAACGCTTCTCTGCTTCTGTGCCAGTATTTGCCACAATCTTGAGTTCTGTCTGATCCATTGACATCAGTCCAAGATTCAGGCCTGAAAAAAGCGCAGAGAAAGTGAGGCATACTACGATGATGACAACAGACATCCATTTTGGCAGCAATTTCTCATAAGAGCGGAGTGCCAGCCAGGACTTGGTGCCTTGGTGCAAGTATTGTGCAGTGGGGTCCAAGCCATTCTTTATGCACACATAGTATGAGGATCCTGGCCTACTGACCCCAGGCACACGGAATCTGACAAGCGCTGAAAACTCAGACAGGCTGTCGGCCTCAACTGGGAAATCACCCTCCACAGGGAACTCACAGCGGTCATCAAGGACAACAGGGCTCTGGGTCACTGTGATGCGTGTGTAGTTGTTGAAGCCAGTGCCAAATATGCGCAACACTGCCTGAGAGTGCGCCAGCAGCACTGGTACACCATCAACATCGTACGTGGGGTCACGGTCGGCAGTTTCCACACGCAGGCCAATCACCTTCAGCACAGGGACTGCAGACCCAGACTGGCGGTCCGTCATCAAGGGCCATCCCCCGTCATCAACCGATGGGCTGCGCTTCATCCTGCCAAAAAACTGATGCTGATTTATCCTGGCACTTCTAATTCATTTAATTAACCTTGACTATTAAATTACTATTTATACTTATTTATTCACAATCTTCATATCTGGCTGCTATATTTCTGTATTAACTAAACTTTAATGTAAATATTATGTCATATTCCAGTGCCTTATGCATGTGATACTATGATTTGTGAAACGTTTCTAGGTTTTTAATGCTATCAGAAGGTCAGAGTTATGATGGTTATGAGCACGCATTAGTCTTGTATCAGATGTATAGGCTCCTGACTTGATTGCTGCCAGATGTGAGATTTCAGTTAACAGTGCTTGAGAATCTTAGTTATGCCAGAGTAATTGACACAGCTACTTCAGTTAAATCTTCAATCAGCAACAAATATTCTTCCTTCAAGTAATAGATTTGGATTTTTAAGTTATGCTGTGAGAAGATGCAAGTCATTTCCAAAATAGAATACATCATATCAAATACTGGACCCGCACAGTTGTGTTTCTTTAATACTTTGCAGTCTAAATTATAAAGTGAATTATCTAATTTGCAATACCTTCATTTGGACTGTGCAACACTCTTCGAAATTTATACTGACATGACGCCTGAAAGCTGGAATATGACCATCTGCTAGGCAACGCTTCATTAAGCACATTCCCGCGGAAACGCGGAATAGACCATTGCTGGACAACGGTTTCGAAAACACGCATTCCCATAGCAAGAGGTATGAAGATTACAAGAGATGAACTGTTCAAGTGTGTTTTCTGCTTGCGGTCTGTACCAGGTCAAAGAACGACATGTAATTAATTCGCAAAGGATAAGTCGTATGGAAGAGGACTAGGGAGAAGAGATCCAGAATTCAAGAGACTTGAGACCTGTCTGAGATTCAGACAGCACGAGATTCCTCATAAAGATTCATCAAACAGGCGTCGTTAGGGAGTTCAATGTGTGAGCTGTTATAATCAACTGAAACTATAACAGAGGCGTCCAATAAATCAAATAAACAAATCTAGAACCCATAATTGTTAGTCATGACGACCCCTTATATGTGACAATGCAAGCAGTCGTGATCGAATGATCACGAAATACACACTGAATAATGTGACATGCTGCTCTTAACCCTTGGTAGCGTTAATATTCGAACCGGCACTGCAGCATGGGAATACGCTCTATGTTCTTCTGGTCGGCGTCATCCAAACGACTGAAGCAGCGTCTTTGTGATACAGATACTCTAATACCTACTACACACGTGAATATAGGTCACCCACGGACTGCACGGCCACCAGCCAAAGATGCCAGATTTTCAGCTGTGGAACAAGCCGTGGAGAAGCTCAAGCGATATCGCACTGTGACTATCCTAACCTGCAGTCCTCTAAGTACTTAATGGCAATCGATTGCATTCACACCACTGCTTGCGACGGGCATGTCTTTTCCCAGATGATCGTTCTCTACGGATGCAATCTTGCGAATGTCAATAAAATGCGGGTGAACTCTTTTTACATAACATTATGTATTCAAACTAAGCCTGCTTTACGCATGAGAGTGTGTTCAACGTTCATAACAGGCACCTCTGGACATGGAATAATCCTCATGCTGTGAACGTGACTATCAAGTCCGCCTCAGGGTAATCGTTTGGGCTGAAACCGTCATAGGCCCCCGTCTACTACAGGGTGAATCGTATAGAACCGGCCCGATGAATTTGCTAATAATTCCGCAGGTGATGCATATAACCGCTCACAATTACGACATAATAATTCGTGGGTCGTGCTCAGTAGAAGGGTGTGCACATGATCCGGCAAGTGGCAGTCCTTATGCTGCAAGGTCAAGGACAATGCCGAAACGTGTCTGCAGTGCGCAGGCGACAGTCATGAAGTACACTGTTGAACAGTGAGTGTTTCTAAGGCCTACTTGAAAACGGCGGACACTTTCAACGCCTGCTCCGATCAGGGCACACAATCCAAGATAAGATATGTGTAAATTACTTTAATATCTGTATGGTATATTTTATATTACACCTCATTTCGTCGGCCCGGTTCTATATGAATCACCCTGTACTTGCCAGGCCACCTGCTCAACAAGCTCTCGAAGCTCTTACACCGAGGCTGCTTGGTAGAGATGCGGTTTTCTCATGACGGAACTCCAATGCACCGTGGGAGATGATGTCCGATAGTGCTGATTGCACTGTCTCCTCGGTCGCCCCCGATGGGTAAGTCCTATGTCTACTGAAGATCTCGCGGCAATACTTCAAGCAGCTGTGAGAACGGTCACTGCGAACATGTGACGCCATGCTCGCGAGTAAGCCGTCTGCCTTGAAATGAACGCAGAGGCTGCTTAGAGAACCTACTACTGTCATTACGAGAGGTCCAGTGCTTGGTCATTTCGTACCTTGAACCATTTTAAGATGACGTGTATCTTGAAAACTAAACGTCACAGTACATGTGTTGTACAATATTTTCGACTTCTGTTTAACAAAGACTCACACTACTGACAGCCTGTGATTGAATTTATTTTCACCCTGTATAAATAACGGAGGCACACGGTAGCGTAGCGGTTGAGGGGCTACGCTACAAGCCGGAATGCCGCGGGTTCAAATCCCAATGAGGTCATTGGATTTTTTCAGCTGACCTAAGCCTTCCAGCCGCATTATGCCCTGGGGTTTACTCAGCCTCTAACAGAAATGAGTACCAGGTATTAATTAAATAATTTTTCTGGGGAGTAAAGCGCGGCCGGCGAGTAAGGCTGACAACCTTACCGCCATCTTTGAGCCGATTGTCTAGATAATGTGGAACCCTCAACGACTCACAACCCTATGGGCCTTCACGGCCTGGTACAGTGATAGCTTTACTTTTTACTTACTGTATAAATAACTAGAGCGTAAATCTGTTCCACATTTCGAATTCAATTTAACAGTTGAATTTCTAAGATAAACACTTCGAATTAATCAACGATGTTGGAGTTGCCGTACTTAATAAAAAGTTAGGTAACAGAACTGGCGATCTGACCGATTTTGTTCCTGTGGTGTTGAATTTCAGCCATAAACACCCCTGAGTTGTCTTATGTTCCCCGGCAAAGTTAATTGCCTAACTGCATTTATTCCTAGCTTTCCTGCCGTAAGTTGCGTTTACGTAAGGCACCCATTTACCTATATTAATGAACTTCCTTGATTTAATTCTAACATCCCTGAGAAGTTAGGATAACGTGTAAGAGTGAAACGGCAGTATCCATGTGGCACCTAGGATAGTGAGGCGTTAGGCGTGAATGAATATTGCCACAATGGCAACAGTCTCTAATGCTCGAGGATGCCTGGATTCAATCTCGTCCAGTGTCTGCAATTCTTTGATAGGTTTTCCTCTATGCCTTTAAACAGACATGAAGGTAGTATATAAAACTGTCCCTGTGCCTAAGAATCACGCCACGAAGGCATGCAAGGAGGATAATAATCTTAACCATGGCACTAGATGGAAATGAATGGTCAGTTGCATGATCCGACAACTTCAACGATGCTAGCACCGGATTATTTGAATCAAACACTCAAATTCCTGTTCCTACTAGAGGCTATATGGATTCCAAAGCCGGCCTGTGGACAGAAGAAAAATCCTGACCCTGCCGGAAATAGAATCCCGGTCGTCCAACCCTAGCTAACCTCTGATTGTTGAGCTACTAGAGGTATAAGCCTCTTTCCCAACAGATTGCCACAACAGGCCGTAATATATGCAGATGGCCTGGAGGGACCTGACCACACGCCACTCCGGGCAGAAGCCTGGCAACATTTCCATTCTCACATCGAAGCGTCAGTGTGTTTATTTTTAGCCCTGCCCAGGGCCACTATAAGGTACGACAGCTGCACTATCATAAGCCCATCACTACAAAAGCCCAAGACTCAACCCGCCGAATTTCCTTATCCCGTCTCCGCAATATACAGTGTGCTCCGTTCAAACATCCCACATATTAATTAATCATTGCGAACATATTGTGATAAATTATGGATTATAATTAACATTAGATGAAAGAAAAACTCAAAGAATTTTATTTCCGTTTTTTCTTCGGTGAAGCTACAGTATCTGGCCGCGTATACCTTGACATGTTAGAACAGTTCCTGTATCCCCAGGTAGCCGATCTGCAGACTAACAAAATCTTCCAACAAAATGGAGCACCCCCGCCCCCACATTTGGGTCTGGATGTTCGGAAGTCCCTCAATGCCACTTTCCAAGATCGCTGGATTGGACGTGGCGGACCGATTCGATTTCTTCCTCTGGGGTTACGTGAAGGACCGTGTGTTCGTGCTTCCAGTGAATGACCTCAAAGATTTACGAGCCCGCATCCGTGAAACGATTGCTACTGTACCAGTGGACATGTTGGAAAGAACGTGGCAAGAAATTGAATACAGACTGGATATTGTTCGTGCTACCAATGTTGCACACGTAGAGGTTTATTAGTATGTCAAAATTTATTTAGTTGTTCTTGTATTTCCTGTAGCTTCATTTTCCTACCATTCCTACTTTCTGTTCTCAGATCTGACAAAATGTGGGAAGTTTGAATGGAACGTCCTATACTTCTCAAACATCTATTTTAATCAAATCCTCCTATCTACTTCAGGGTTTCTTTTAACACTTTTCAAAGACAATTTTACCTCCATCCTAAATGTCCTCGTCATATCACTTCACTCTCTTAACAACATTCCCCATGCTCCTTGTGTACCTCTGCATACTTCAGTATCTTCCTCATTTCCTTGTTCCAAGAGACCCTATTCTTTCATCAGAGAAAGAGACCTATTCATATCCGTACAAAACAGGTAAAACATATTTCTGTTTACTTCCGTGTATTTCTTTAATCTTTACTTTCCCGCTTGGAACATAGGAAGATAAACAGATGACTGCTTGTGACAGTGGCTAAATGCAGCCCAACAACAAACGTGTAACCTGTTTCTCAAGCCAAACGAAAAGTTGGTCCACAAATAAAAGTGGTGTATTGAAATGACATGAAGTCACATCGAGCCGGTT